AACTACACATTTTCTTGACTTTTTTGAAGTAGCTCTCTTCCTATGCACAAGAAAACTTTAAAAAAAGATGTTAGAAGTTAAAAACATTCTGTCTTTATTCTTGATGAGAAAACTAATGCATATTTTTTTTGTCAATAGATAAGAAAAAATTCAGAAAACCATAAAACATGCCTGAGAAATCGTGGATAATTTTCCAAGCGGATGTCACACAAGGTCATTCTTCATTGTCACCATAATCAAAATTAAGTCTAAACTGTATCACTTAATTTACAATGTTTGTTTAATAATTTAATTTGATAGATGACTGCAAAAGATACACACACCAATTCAAAGTGCTCAACGCTGATTATTTTCATTAAAGAATTACAGGACAGTCAGGGTAATGACATGGGGTTTTAACAGTAATTTACACATCTCAGACTGACCAATTACCCCACAAATTTAATCTGGAGAGCCATAATTACCTCCAAATTAGCTTAAATAAATATGTGAAAACACTAAATTATCAACATTTCAGCAAAAAAAATTTTTCAAAATGAAATTTAAGAAGATTGCATTCAATTTTACATATATTCTAATTTTTTTCGACTAATCTATTACAGATTTTATAACCGATTGCCATCAATCCCACCGACTAATTGGTTAACCGTTTAGAAATTGCCATCCCTAGTTAGCTCACCTGAGCTGAAAGCTCAAGTGAGCTTTTCTGATCACCCTTTGTCCGTCGTCCGTCCATCTGTCTAGCTGTCTGTCCATCCGTCTGTAAACTTTTCACATTTTCAACTTCTTCTCAAGAACCACTGGGCCAATTTTAACCAAAATTTGCACAGAACATTCTTGGGTAAAGGGGAAGTTAAATTGTTGAAATGAAGGGCCAAGCCCCCTTTCAAGGGGAGATAATCTAGAAAAAGCAAAAATTGAATGGGGTCATTAAAAAATCTTCTTCTCAAGAATCACTGGGCCAGAAAAGCTTAAACTTACATGGAAGCATCCTGGGGTAGTGTAGATTCTAAATTGTTAAAATCATGACCCCCGGGGTAGGGCAGGGCCACAATAGGGAATCCAAGTTTTACATTGAAATATATTTTAAAAAATCTTTAAAAATCTTCTTCTCAAGAACCACTGAGCCAGAAAAGCTGAAATTTATGAGGAAGCATCCTGGGGTAGTGTAGATTCTAATTTGTTAAAAACATGGCCCCCCAGGTACGGTGGGGCCACAATAGGGAATCCAAGTTTGACATTGAAATATACTGAAAAAAATCTTTAAAAATCTTCTTCTCAAGAACAACTGGGCCAGAAAAGCTGAAACTTATGTGGAAGTATCCTGGGGTAGTGTAGATTCTGAATTGTTAAAATAATGACCCTAGGTAGGATGGGACCACAATAGGTGTATTACATTGGGGAAAGTCTAGTGAAGAACAGCAGGGCCAAAGTTACTCAGGTTAGTGTTGTGGCCCATGAGCCTCTTGTTTTAATTGTAACGGAAAACGCTACTGATGTTCCCCAAATGCTTCCTTACTCACTTTTGGTGCCTCATTCCCTTAAAACTTCATGAAATTAGGCAGAATCTTTGCATTATAGATTAATTTTCTAAATTATGGGGGTGGATAGCAAAATGAGCAAAAGCTATTCAGAATTCATGTGCATATGCATGATTTTGAGAACTTCCAAATTTGACATAATATAAACCATATTTTTAATATATATATATATATATATATATATATATATATATATATATATATATATATTAATAGGCAAGTACAAAAGTCAACAAGAATACATGAGTACTATAAAAGCTTAAGTTAATTATTTATTTCAACAAAGTTGTAGATTTCAACTGGAATTTCCTCCACATGTACATGTTGTCAATGGTAGAGCTTGCTGCTTTCACTATGACACTGAACATTACTTGTGCAGTGAAGATTTGACCATCATTTTCTTTGGTCTCTTACTTAAAAACAACCCTTCTTCGCTTACGATTCATAATGATTCTATTACTTTGTTTTCATTATTCAAAACATTGCATGTTTAGTCTATTTTGAAAGTGTTCTAAGGATTAAGATCATTAATATAGCCAATTTGTACAATTCGTCTAAGGAGAAAAATGGATGAAACAATTATCTCCCCTTGAAAGAGGGCATGGCCCTTCATTTGAAAAAAAAACTTGAATCCCCTTCACATAAGGATGCTTTGTAGCAAGTTTGGTTGAAATTGGCCCAGGGGTTCTTAAGAAGAAGATGAAATGTTAAAAGTTTACGATGATAACGACAATGACGACAACAACAGACAATGGACAACTTTTGATCAGAAATTTTTTGATTTAAAAAAGAATAAAAAGAAATCAAAGTACTGATACAGTACTGAAAGACACAGTCAAAATAATAAATTTCATGATTTTACAAATTTCATAACTGGTGAAATTTTTATATGGTTTTAATATCTACTTAAAACTTTTTAGACATTTAATATTAACATAAAATTAAAAAAAACATTCTGAAAAATATATATTTCCACTTTTCATTCACTCAGAAGTGGAAATATATATTTTTCAGAATGTTTTTTTTTAATTTTATGTTAATATTTCCACTTTTCATTCACTCAGACCGCCGAAATATGGCTGAAATATTGCCGATTCGGCATAAAACAATGATAATCAATCAATCATTCACTCAGAAATTGATTAATTAGTCATCACTAGCCAAAAAAACCTTTTGTACTGACTGAAGTTCATAGGGTCAGAATTAATATGACATTCCTGGAAGTACTCAGTAAACAACCATTGACACTTAGGCAGTCTAATATTACGCAGCCGAGTAGTTTGTATACTAGTGTAGGTCAGTACAAGGGGCATTTGAAAAGTTCTGAGAACTGCTTGCTATAATATTAACCATTACATGGAAATTAAGAAGTTTGGTACCATTGAAAAGAGCTGGAAAATTTGCACCTATATTAACGTCATTTTTTTTATATTTATGACGTAATAACTCCAAAAATGACGTTAGAATCTCGAATGTTTAGCATACTGAAAAGTCGCGTTTTTGTCCACATGAGAACATCGAAAAAGTGCTGTCAAAGGCCTCTTCAAAAAGATATTTCAAAGAAAATTTGTATGGAGGTAGAGTAAGACTGTAAGAATGGTACAGTAAATCAGTAATTCCATATTTTATTTTTTTGCTTGGTTAATAAGCATGGTAATTTTATCTTAGGCGTTCATAAAATATTTTTATTTATATGATATAGATGGATTTTCGGTCTATTGTAGACCTCTCCCCTATATTAAATAAAAGATATTCTATATAAAACTGAAGTGTAACAATGCAGTTTTCCATAAATCTATCTTGAGTGTCAGGAATCTTACCGTTTACGAATAAGACTTACAAAAGTCTTCCCTTGTTTCTGTGCATATTTTTTCATATCATTTCAACTTCGGCGATCCAAAACTCACTTATTGCCTTTGACTTTCGACTCAAAAAAATAAATCTGAGTTTCTTTGCTATGTACAATCTTATTTATTGTTCATGATTTAAAAGTTTCGAACATATCGAGTTACAGCGGGGTCAGAACTACACCGGCGCCATTTTGGTTTTTATGAGAAAATATAGGACACCCTTCGCTTAACCTCTCTTGAGCTTTAAACGTTCCGGCAAAATTGGTTAAAACACCTGACGAATTAATGCCAGCAAACTCTGTAACACCGTCCACTATTCTCCTGTTATTGTCAACTTTTTGATTTTCTCACAGCAGCTTCTTTTGCACGAGATTCGATAATAACATGTTATGTTTGACACACTCTTAAACCATCTCAGAACTATGGGAGCTCCTAAATATAACTTCATATGATAGACTGCAGTCTATGTAAACATTTTTCCAACTGGCAGTTGTGTATGTTAGCTTGCATCCAAGTAATGAACAGAAGTCGACTTTAGAATTTTACTTCACTGAAATTGTGTCTCTTGTTATGTCATTTTCATGGTCAGTATGCTAGACATTCGAGATTCTTACATCATTTTCAGAGTTATTATGTAATAAAAATTACAAAGTGACATCACAAAATGTGTATATTTTTGTGTCCAATGATATCAAATTCAATAATTTCCGTTAAAAGGTTAATATTTTACGAGTCAGTTCTCAGAACTTTTCAAATGCCCCTCATATAATGTTTTTCATGCTAAAAATTTTCAAAAATTATGTTTCTTTAATTTGTGTAAGAAAATCTTAATATTACTCTCTAAAGTTTGAGTCAGAGTGTTTATATTTTGATCAAAACATTTTCTACACTCTTTCATTTAGCATAGATTCAATTCATACGTTATACACACGGCTTCTGTTTCGAGGCCTCAACTGACTGTAAACTAATAGATAGGGTTACGTGACCAGAGGAAGACTTTGGGAAAGTGATGCAATGAAACATCATCTAATATCCAGTATCTTTTAAAATGCAATATTTGACTACCTGAATACTTTGCTCATATGACAATTACTACAAAATTTAAATTGCTTGATCAGTGTCTGAAGCAAGTCTAGAAGTGTCCATCCCTAGATGCATCCACCATCCATACTTGTTTGGTTCAGGAAAGGCTAATATTCACTCATTTTGAAAAGGTAGGTCAGACTTAGCATCTGAAGCAGGTCTGGTGGTGTCCATTCCTTGCTGCATCATCCAAGCAAGTTTGGTTCAAGTAGGGCTTATAGATACTTGGGAATGGACTTGTTCCATATACTTCAACCTGGTCACTCACCTGGAAAAAAAAGAATGTCAGAATTAGCATTCGAAGCAAGTCTGGCGAAACTGGTCCAGGTAGGGCTTATAGTTACTTGGGAGTGAACTTGCTCCTAGTACCTTAACCTTTAACATACAGCAATAGGTCACCTGAGTTACTCAGGGGACCTTTGAATGTATATCAATTTGACATCTGTTAGACTTGGGGAAGATCCTCAAATTTTCCTATCATAGATACCCTGTTGAATTTAATGTAAGTGACTGATGAGGAACCTACCTTAATTTTAAAGGCTCTCTTGAATCCGCTGGCAAAAAACCCTCCAAATGGACCAATTACAGATGCAAACACTGACATTGAGATGGAGTGAAGGATAAATGGGTAAATTTTTACTGTGGTCCATGACAATCCAATCTAACAAAAATATATTCATATTGATAAAAAAAACTTCATGACTAATTTCACCCAATCAGCTTCAAAAAGGGGGGGGGGGGGCATAAACACTCAAACTTGTGATGTTTATGTAAGTAAAATGAATATGTTTATCCATATAGATTTTATTTTTTAATTAAAATTTCACAACATTGTGCAATAAAGTGATAAAAAGTTGTATAGACTTAAAAGGGTAATGACCTTAAGGTAGAATTTTGAACATCAAAGAAAATTCGCAATTTCTTAATATTCTAGAAATTTGGTATTTGCATCATATACAACTGATTCAGTGATAGATTGAAAAATATATACCAATCCATACATGCATTTTTTATTTGTATCATTTGTTCTTAAGCCTGGGATTGGATACTAGACATTTACTTTAATTGACACTAGATGAAATCCCGCGCAAGCGCGGGGAATTGAATTTATACTACTACCGACAGAAAATATATTGTAGTTTCTACTAACAGCCTACAGGCTTATAGCAGGAAGAAATACTTTTTTTTCAAAATCCTGCATGAAATAGATGTACGTTTCCACCCCCCCCCCCACCCCACCCCCCCATTTGTGAAAATTTGAAAAAAAAATAACAATTTCATTAATTGGCGTTTATTGTGAAACCTGTTACACTATGTTATGGATATTGTACTTCAGATGCTCTTATTTCATTTCCCTCAAGGATAGAAGCAGCAAATACGCACATTTTACTGATAAATTGATTTGGGGGGGGGGGGGTTAAAATTCACTGGTACTTTGGTCTTGCTAAATATAAATATGTATGTACCTTATTGATAGGTAAAAAATGTACTTTACTTTTTTTTTACGTACATGTATCAATAAGGTACATAAGTATTTATAAACCAAGACTCAAGTACCTGTGTAAAAATTAGCTTTTTTAAACGCCCTATGAATAGGCCGAGTATTTGATACAAAGGACTGTATTCAGAAAAAATAACTGAAATGTAATTAAAGCACAAAATTTTACAGCTTTGATTGTATTTGAACAATACCTTATTCATTAATTTTCTCTTTTCATTACGAAGTACAAATTGTACTTCGGGTTCGTTGCCACGATGCTCTCTGTGAGGATATTACCGATAAATTTATTAGGAAAACCTACTACATATATACAATAGTCCTTCAATATATAAATATATTCAAAACTTAGAGTGTTATCAATGATTTACCATTATTTCAATGACCATTCACACAAAAGCTTTTTTTTATGTTAATGTAGCATAATAGCCTCGTTTTTTTTAACATCGGGCTCGATGCCATATGATGTTCTAGAAGCTTCTGTCAATATTAAGATCGGTGAATGACAAAAATAATTTGCACACTTCCCTTTTTAATCTGGTATCACAACTTATTTCTTTTATATCATTTAAATCAAGTTTTGATTGAATAATTCTGTGATGACGTTTTATGAAATAAATAATCGATTGCTTGTTGCTAGTGTCATTAAAAATTGCCAGTAACTTAGATCCGCCAACCGGAAACACCACCGTACTCATGTTTTTGCTATTTCATGGTTGTTTATAGAAAATGAGGGTAGACTTTTAATTTAATGTACGATACTAACTATGCGATTGAAATCTAAATATAGTTTACGGACATCATCTTGTATCTAGTGTATTCTTAGAGGAGTAAGTAAGAACTCTGGTGCACCCGTGTCGGAGTTTATTTGCAAAATTTATTAATTTATAAGTATAGATTTAGTAATACATGTATATACTTTGTCTGGAGATCATATCAATTCTTGAATTAATGTAGTCTTTTGAAGCCTTCCAAAGCACTGTAGATGTTTATTTTATTTAATTTGTTTGCTACACAATATAAAAGTATGCAATTTACACGTACATCAATTTTACTTTAAAGTCAAACAACACATTCCTCAAAATATGTGACTTTTCCTAAGAATTTGTCATTGAAATATTGCTGCTTTACAGTTTTCTAATGAAAAATTGGGGTACATTACCAGGCATTTGTGCAAGATTCTGGAGTATGGTATTTCCTATATAATGCAATATATTAGGAATTCACCTGAACTATTGATATCACGATTTTTTGTATATATACTATTGCAGACATACAGTATAGAAATCAAAAGATAATAATAATTATAAAGATAAGCTGTCCCATGCAAATGGGACCCTTAAGGTATAAATTATCACAATTTACTTTTCAATGGATTATGAGACTGTCACAGTAGCTCAGTCGGTAGAGCGCTCGCTCTGTGATTGGAAGGTCGTGGGTTTGAACCCCGGCCATGACTGACCTAAGTTGATAAAAAATAGGTAGCAACTGTTCATTCGCAAAGTGCTCAGCACTTTGAAGTGAAAGTTGCCAATCCTTTGGATGAGACCTTAAAACTGAGACCCCGTGTCATGGCAGGCGTTGGCATGATAAAGTTCCCTCATTGCTCAATGGCCCTGAGTGCCAAGTAAAGGTCTAAATTTAAAAGCCCTTCACCAGTATATGGTGACGTCTCTATGTGAATGAAAAGTACTGAAATTGAATGTAAAACAACAATCAATCAATGGATAATGATAGACTATAGTGTAATTAATCAAGTACAAAGTTTAATTCTAATATTCAGAATATTAGAGATACAGGCAATCAAAGATTAAATGAATACGTAATCTTATGTATGCTTAATCATTCTCTGAAACATTTGAGACAGTATTGGATTGAAAGAACTAAAGTTAATAACCCAAAATAATGCATAAAAATTTAATACTTTTAAATCTCCTGCTTTTGTTCTACATGCAATAGTTGATATAAATGTTTTCGTAAAATATATCTAAATCATACAACAGTTGTCACACCCATTTCAATGCTATTTTATAAAATATATAAAGAGAACATATTTTAGACTTGATACCAGACAAGATTTACATGTACATTCAAAAAGTTCAAAATTCTACCTTAAGGTCAAAAATATTAAAAAAATATTTTCTTGAGAGAGAGAGAGAGATGACTTATTTTGCTCTGTTCATGTCTGCCATTGGTAGTTATTAACACTGGAGATGGTACAGTACCGACCAAACACAACCTAACAGAAAGCGAACCCAAAGTGCACCCCAGGTTCCCTTTCTGGGTTTGCTTCTGGTTCGCTTAGGGTCCCCTAGAGCTGACCCCGAGTGAACCTGGAGCACACCCCGAGTGAACCCGCAGCAGACCTGTAGTGGACTCGGAGCGAACGCTGAAAGCGAACCCCAAATTCAGTAAAAAACCCAATCAGGATTAGCAATAAGACGTGTTAACCAATCAGCGCGTCGACCAATCAACGTGCCAGTTTGTCATTCAATGTAAATAAAACATTGTACAAGCAAAGCGTGTTAATGTACAGTGTGAAATTATTACTAACATGATTAAAAAAAAAATATATTTATATTTTAATTATCCAGGTAGCATGTTATAGTTACATATTTATTTTCTTTAATTTTTATTTTTAAAATCCATTAATATACATTGTGTAAATTTATCAGACAATACATGTACGTAATTTAATGTAGAAAAGAAAGAAAGACAATAATGTTACTGCAATTGTTACTAAAAAAAAAAAGAAAAGAAAAAAATGGTCTTTGACAAATTATAGCATTTCATCATCTCAAGAACCTGTACAAGAACATGTACATGCTTTCATTCAATTATTAAGGTCTTCCGTCTCCAAGGAAGACCTTATAGTGATTCTACTGTTTCTTATTAAGGTCTTTCGTCTCCATGGAAGACCTTATAGTGATTCTATTGTTTCTTATTAAGGTTTTCCGTCTCCACGGAAGACCTTATAGTGATTCTATTGTTTCTTATTAAGGTCTTCCGTCTCCACAGAAGACCTTATAGTGATTCTATTGTTAGGTCTTCCGTTTTCAACGGAAGACCTATAGTGATTCTACTGTTTCTTATTATTATTATTAAGGTCTTCCGACTTCCTTCGGAAGACCTTATTGTTTTCGGTCTGTTTTCTATTATTAGGGTCTTCCGTCTCCAATGGAAGACCCTTCTATTATTCTATTGTTTCTTTTTCACTTTTATCATTATTATTCTTTTTTTTTTCTTTACAATTTTTGTGCAGAAGATTTCTCGGAGTTGGCTCGATCGATTTACTTGAAAATTTCAGGGAAGATGAATCTTTGTCTGAACCTTATACGTTTTTCTCATTTTTTTGAAATTTACTTCCGGTCGGAAGTTATTGCCCTTTAATCAAAATTCAGAGGACCTCCTTGTCTGCAATGGAACTCAAAAACGATTAAAGCTAGAGTGCTGAAATTTTCAGCGATGATAGAGGACATACTGCCATTGATCACCTGGGTTTTGAAATCTTCCGGAAGTGCCTAGTATGGAAGCTCGGTAGGGGTCAAAATTTAGGAAGTGAGTCATGAGTAAATTTTAGAGACATTTCTTACGATAACTTTTTAACTATGAGTATTTTGTTAAAACATATTGAACAGAAATTGTGTAGAATTACAAGATCTTTTATATGATATCAAAAAAAAGGGCTGACTCATCACATTAGGGGCTGAGAAGGGCCGAAAGTCTTTAATCAATAACTCTTTAACAATCAATATTTTGTAATGCATTACTGAAAAAAAAAATGTTTATCTCAACTATTTACAACTATATATTATGATATTCACATCATTTGTTACATAATTAGGGGCCATAAGGGGCCAGAATGCTAAATCTTTGATGCTTAATATCTCAAAAGTGGGAAATATTTTGATAAGCAATATTGAACAAAGATGTCCAAAATAATGTTCTTAACATGATGCAACCTTTAATTTTTTGCTAAACGTCCCCATTAAGGAGTTGAAGGGCCGTCCCTTAAATACTTCTTTTGTAAATATCTCAGAAACATAAAAGAATTTCTGACTAGTTGTTGAACAAAAAGTGTTCAAAATCATGAGAGCTTTAAAGTGATATGAAGAAAAAGGGGCTGGACCCTCACAATAGGGGCTGAGTGGGGCCCAAAGTCT